ATCAGTGGGTCATCACCAAATCAATAGGTGACCCAACAATCTCCCCCTATTTGATGATGGCACACACTTAGAAAAAAATAAATACAGGAAACACAAACTCTAAAATTCTTTGAGAAGAAGAACTTATAAATTATGTGACCCATGTACAGGGAAATTATGGTAAGTCTATAATACTAATCTCTGACCAGACTAGATGTTTCTTTTGTTGTGAACATGTTATATCAATACATGCATAAGCCAACTGAAGAATATTGGGCAACTCTCAAACGACTCTTACACTACCTAATAGGCATATCTACACAAGGTCTACTACTATGTCATGATCCGCCCACTACTCTCCATGCCTTTATAGATGCTTCCTAGGCCGGTGTTAAAAATAACTACATTTCAACGACCGAGTATATTGGTTACTTGGGTCGAAATCCTATTTCTTGGAATTCACGTAAGCAACACACTCTTGCTTGTTCGTCGGCAGAAGCTGAATATCAAGCTGTTGCTGCAACTACGACATAAGTATTATGGGTTTAAAACTTACTTCATGAGCTAGGTCATCTACCTATCACAACACTAGTAATATATTATGATAACAAGGGAGCTACATATGTTGCCGCTGATCCTAAGTTTCACTAAAAAATGAAGCACCAAGCTCTTGAATATCATTTTGTTCATGAGAATGTCCAAAGTTGAAAGCTACGGGTTTCATACATTTATGACAATGATCAACTAGTTAATGCTCTTTACTAAACTTCTTGCAATAACAAGTTCAGGAACTCATGTCTAAGATTAGTTTCACTATTTGATCGTCCATCTTGCGGAGGTATGATAAATATACTTACAATCAATCCCTACACTAATTGAACATTCTCTCATAAACACTTGACTAAATATCTCGTAAGTTACGATTTTGTTTTATAGGTTATAATTCTCTCAAGATGTGAATATATACCCACCTACAAGTAATAACACAATGGAGTTTTTCGACTCAATCACATGCTTAATTCTATATTTCGTTCTTAAGGGGTGTTTGGGATTGCTTATTTGAAACGACTTATGTTTTTCTACAAAAACACTTATCAACTTATTAGAAGTCAGAAGAGTTTAACTTTTTCAAAAACTTCTAATTACCGGTTTGACACCGGTATAAGTTGTTTATCCGAACACTCAAAAGTGATTATTACCGGTGTCACACTGTAATAAGTTAATAAGTTGTTTTTATAAGCAATTCTAAAAATCTCCTTAATTGTCATTAAACTTGATTTAGTAACAATAGTTGTATTTTATATTTAACTTTAACTTTGACTACAGTTGTTTAAAATAATGACAAGTACGATCTTTTTTTTATATCGGAGTCAAAACTTTGAAAATATAAAAAACGTAACGCATATGACAAAAATAATGAAGAAGTATTCAAAAGGAAAATGATAAGTAGTTGATTTAGAATAATACATGTTGATAAAATAATTATGAATTAGTCACCGAACAAATCTTCCTAGATATGCGACGTTAATCATGCAAGAATCAAGGGGTCAAATAAAGTCAAAGTCAATGTTTCCAAATTAGTCTCCGGTTTTAATTTATTTAAAATATATATATGTTATACAATTTTTTTAATAAAATTAAAAAATATTTCACTTAAGGGGTTGTTTGGCAATTGCTGAATGGTTTGGTACATAATGATTAAGTGGTCAGAATAATTAAGAGACTCTCATGATATAGTGCAAAATGAAATATAATTGTTTGGTAATTGTATACAATGAAATTAGGGTTCTTAATGGTTAAGAGAGATTCATGATACAAAATCATTCATAGAGTTTTAAAACCATTAAGGTCTTATATAATCAGTTGAGGTGTATGCAAGTTGACCTACACAAAGTTATCTAATTATACGGTCATCTCACTCGAGCTTCTCAATATTACATCGTTAACATGCTTAAAATTATAAATTAAATAATTTTAAGAAAATAAATATAGATTACAATCAATGTGTAAATTTACTTTCCGTTGGCAAGTTTTTTGGTCCGCTGCTGTTTGGGTAAAAGTATCTTTTAACATATTCTCTAAAATAGAAAGAATAAAAAATAAAATTTATTTTTTAAACAATCATCTTTAGAGAGTTTTCCAAAATTGGTCAAAGATTTGCACCCCTCCTATGTGCGGATATTAGAGTTGAAATGATGAAAAATACAATTGGACATGCCCGTGGGGCCCGTTAATAATAATGTATTGATTCATTTCGTAATCTTATAATGAACATGCTTTACATCGTACCGAAAGAATTAAGGTGACGTTTGTTTTTTAAGAGGTGTCGAAGTCTGAAGTCTTATTTCACTTCTGATTAATAAGAGATGATGCTGAAATCTGAAATTTGAATCCATAAGATTGTTTGTTTTTGTAAACTGACAAACGTCTGAAGTCTGAAATCTTAATTAATACTTTAAAAAAAAATCAAGTGCAAACATTTTGCAAAATTCTCTTGATTTTCGTAATATTTCCATTGCTGAAATTAATCTCAATAATTGCTCAACAGATGAAACACAGTCAGAACCTTTTTTTGATACCTTTCAGATTTCCGATGCGGGAATGCCACCGGTGAGTTTGTCTACGAAAAGATCGATACTTTTGATAGAAAGATCACCGATAGAAGTTCTTGTTTCACATTAATCTTCTAAGCTAACCTATACGTACAAAAATTATATATATATATATAGGGGTCTATTCAAGAAAGAACTGATTAGTTTATGATAACTGTGAGATCCAATCTTAACCACAAATTAATGCATAAATTAGGAAACTAATATTTTTGGTAATTTGACTTAAAATCATAATTAAAAGGCATTTTAGGTATTTTAAAATTTTTATCTCTCCCCCCTCTCTCTCTCTCCTACCTCCGGTCTCCAATGAAGACCATGTGATATCCAAAATACAACAAGATACACAATGTGATACCCAAAATATATAGAATGTGATACCCAAAACACACCAGGTAAACTTTAAAACCACTTTGATACCAACTGTGGTACCAGCTGTGGTACCACTGTGGTACCACTGTCGTAGGTGGGTGTTTAGTGGTTGATCATCGGATATGGCATCTTGGTCAGACAAGATGCCCGAAGGAGGTCACTGGAGTGGTGGTGGGTGCTGGAGAAGGCCATCGGATTTGGTCCCTCTGTGTGTGTATGTATATATATACATATATTAAAATAATTGAACTAATTAAGTAAATTGGAAAATTAAACTAATTAAGTAAGTTGAATAATCAACACAATTTATTAATTTACCCTTTGGTTTATTTTAGTAAATAACATTAATTATCTAAAATGATTGACTCATATTGGACTTCACAGTTACCACAAACTATCTAATTTTTTATTTGATTAGGCCTCTATATATATATATATATATATATATATAGAGAGAGAGAGAGAGAGAGAGAGAGAGATGGGGGGGGGGTAGGGACGTGCATTTTACATGGTTGATGAAAGGACGGTGACGTCCCTAGTGAAGAAAGAAGTAATAGCCAAAGAGAATTAAAGAAAAAGGAAAATAAAAAAAATTAAGATATTACTTTACCTTTTATTTATTCAGACTATATTAAGTGATAAGAGACTCTGAAAATAATAATAAACAAACAATCCGAATCACAAAACGTCTAAACAAAACACACATAAGTAATAATTAAGAGCTGAAAATGAAAAAAAAAAAAAAACAAGGCTTAAGGTTATTTTAGTTACAGGTCCAATTGGACATACCCGTCCAACCCGTATAATGATAATGTATTGAGCTACAGAATCATAAAGCTGTATTGTACAAAGACGATGACGGTCTCGTAGTTGTGCATGCAACATTAAAGTTCATAAAGATGGAAAATGATGCATATTCGCTTCACAATAAATATATGGCTCACGCTTGTTACATAAAAAAGTTGTATTATAATTTTAAAAAATTGATTTAGACTCGGAAGACTTTTGACTTTAGAGAATATCCAATTACAACTCAATTGGTCGGTTTGTTTCTTAAAAGTCATCAGTTGACGTCTGTATACTCAAATTACCAAAAAGGTTTGCAAAGCGTTAACTTTAAGTGTATAATAAACTAATCGAGATGTATGTAAATTGACCAAAATACCCAGAGTTATCAAAATAACGCATCTTTTAACTAATGAAATAATATCAAAAATTAATATTTACATTTAAAAATGAAGGAATATGATTCTTTTTACAATCCCTATTTTACCCCTGTTTATCTAAAAAGTAAAAAGTAGCCTAAAATGGCACACACAGCGGCCACTAGATTCCCTTCTTTAATCACCACCATACCCACCGTCCGGCTCATCTCCACCGTCAATTTCTTCCCTTCCACCACCACCGACTCCCTCGGCTTTCCGGCGAAACTCAACAAAACCAAAACCGAGATCCAAATCACCATGATAGCCGGCATCGCCATGGCCAAAGCGGCCGCCATAGACAGAACTCCGAAGATCACACCTACCGCCACCGAAGCGTAGATCGAAGGCCACCAAAATGATGACGACGACGACGAGGTCGCAACGGCGGAGGCGTACCACGATAGTACGGAGTTAAGGAGATTCCATGATGATAAGAGGATTGCACACAATAAGAGAATCAGGAGAATACATGTTCGTCTCCGGCTAATGAATCGCAAAAGAATCGATCTCTCCGGCGGAGACGCGGCCGCTGCAGACGACGGCGATCTGTAGCTCAATACGTTACCATTATACGCCATCGTTTTGTTTTACCTTCTCTTTCTCTCTCTTGATCTTGTTAATGGAGGATGGATTGTTTACTTTTTGGTGGGGGTTATGTATTGATGTTGTGACGCGTGGCCGTGCCTCCAATTTTGATTATTAGTTTTTTCTTCAAGTAAAACTTGGGAGGCGACCAACGGTTCAAACAAGAGTACGCTACCATTTTCGTACCTTTGGTTTGTTAACAACTACAACTTTAGTCCCTGTATTTTTGAAATTATGATTTTTGTCCCTGTGATTTTGTTTTTTTCGTTTCCGAACATAACTTTGACAATGGTTTATCGTTAAGTATAGGGACGGAAAAACAATGAATTATAAATCATAGATGCAAAACCTGTAATTATGAAAATACAAGGATGAAGATAACAATTATCAACTAACCATAGGAACGAAAAACGTAGTTTACTCATCAAACAAAACCCATGCCATTCATTCCTGTAGCCGACTGGTGGGATCGGGTTGGAATTTGTATGTGATTGGAAACGAATTAATTTGATAACTAAATTACCTTATTATTAATTGATTATTGGAAAACAAACGTCTTTAACATATTTCAAAACATTATTATATACAAATCTCTCGGAATCCCATCACATATATGAGATTTCAAAATCATATATTTGAGGGATTTCAAAGAAATCCGAGCAATTCCGCAAACTAAACACATGATCTGAATTCCAAATTCCCCAAATCCTTTTCATTTCTGCAAATCAATTAGAACCTTAGAAATAGAATTGGAAAATATACACTAACTTTTAAAATGAAACATTATTTTGAAATAAACTAAAATAGAATTGCACCAATTTTTTGGACGGAGATTGGAAATAACTCTTTTCGTCCCTACAGCTTTGGAATTACAAGATGACTATCATAGTTTGTAAAAAGGTCTGGATTTGATTTCTCACCCTAAAAGCCGCAAATAAATGTCGTTAAAGATACCTTTTCACCCTTTTATCGATTTTCTCGTCTCTTATCAAATCTAAACGTTTTTAGAAACTATAATGACCATTTTATAATTTTAAAACCGTAGAAATCAAAAATGTTATTTTTAACAAACCATAAAAGACAAATTTATAGTTTATTCTAATTTATAACATATATACCTAGATTAAAAGAATATTAAACAAAAGGTCGTAAAAGAGAAGCTATTATATTGAGTGTGACTTGAATAGATAGTCAAAAGTTTGACCAAACTATTCAACAATGAATCAATTAAATGAGTAATTCATTTTAGGTGCATGTGGAAATGGTCAACTTAGGCCAAAATCAAGTGTTAGATATCTTTGGTGGTTAGTTGTTACTTGTATTACTCATATAGTCTTAGTCTTAGTATTAGTATGAGATATATATTAGGGGGTCATTTGTTTTACACACATGTTAAAGATATTATATCAATAATAAATATACATACATACTTTTTAAATAATATTTGTATAACACCTTAAGATCATATTTATATATAAACATATATTTTATATATCATGAAATACTTTATATATTTGGTCTCAATATATACAAAAGCTATATTACAAAGTAGCTATCAAAATTTTCCACATAATCCCAGTACAAAACTTGTAACTATAACAAGTATTCAGGTACAACAATATCACATCATCCCAAAAATCCACATGCAAGCAATCATAAATTCTTCATAATTTCTTCTTCCCCTTATCATCCGCTTTGTTGTGTGGCTGGCGGCAGAACTCATCATAAGTGAGGGCTTAGTCAATGACACGTGCCTTTGGGTGCACATTTTGAAGCACCAAAATGAAGGTTAGACTATGAGGTCTAGTGAAAAATCTCTGATATTACATAGTGAAAATCACCAAAACACTTTTATAAAATCACATTTGTATAAATAACAAATAAACAACATTTTATCGATTTCAAGTAAGGAGGTGTACCTCCTTGCAATATGAGTGGGATCAGGATGTCTAGGGATCGATTCCAAATATCACCTGTAACACCCTAAAATCATTCAAAAATACAACTTCACCAAGAATTGAGATGCTTAAATCTGTAAGAGGGAAAGTAAAGGTAATCGATATCAACAAACAACAGAAATAAAGTTAATAACCTACTAATCTAATTCTAGATTGAACTAGATTACAATAAGGTATTACTAATGTTCAAAATTCCAACTTGTCTCACAAGCCGTCCCAAAAAAAGATGTTCCCCTGATGCGTCTAGGTAGCACCAACGTCACATCTTTAACCGCTTTAGATCCGCTGCTAAAGGGACCTGTTATACATGGCATTTTAAGAAAAGTGTTAGGCTTACGCCTAGTGAGTCCAAACAGTTATAATTGAAATGATAACCTAAAGATATAGAAAAGTGTAGACCAAATGATATTACCTGGAAATGGTACGTTTACACGTAAAGGAATAGTCCCATGTTCAAACCTTACAAGTTATACACATAACATCTTTCAATGACGGGGGATACCCGTTTCCATTGGATGTGGTACGAACACAAAAGTATTACCACATATCAAAGTTTATTAGGATTACACTTCATTATCTATGGATTTATGGTATCACCTTAAGCATTCAATTTCCTTTAATGCCTACTTACAAAAGTTCCATCTCAAAGTTAATGAATTTTAATGTCTGCCCATTAACTACTCAAGTCTCACCTTAAAGCTCTCATTCTGCTTTCATGTCTACTTGCTAGTATCCAAGATCGGTGTAACCTTGACCTACTTGATAACACTAAATCTATAACCCTCATGCATAAGGGTTATAGCACCACAACATCAAGCTTGAAAATTTAACCGTATAAGGAAAGTGCATGATCCCCCAAATTATGAACAAAGGCATTTCATAGACATTCACAACAACCTTTTCTTCTCACATCTATATACAAGTTACTCGTAAGTATTATAAGGTAAGGTTATATAGATATATTTAAAACACCCAAGTGTAATGTGACTCTTCATTTATGCCAATCTACTTCTGCGATAAATGGGTGAATGAGTTTATAACGAAGTCAATATGCTCAAGGGATGAAAACCCATTAATATTATGAAACAAAACCAAAAAAAAACCCCAAAGATTTACCCAATGATGCTCTATTTACTATTTTAGTTCAAAATCCCAAAATGATCATTTTTGCATAAAGTTTTTGGAATAATCATGCAATAAGTTTATAAATATGTAAGAAAGTCAAGTTTCATCATTATATATATATAAACATACATATATAGGAGAGCGTTCAAATAAAAACCACTCAATTTGTAAAAACCGTGAAAACCCCAAACCAATCATAATTTTTCATTTTGTTCATTTTTTTGTAATTATGAGAGGTTGCTTAACCATTTTTATTGTGGAGGGTGTTAATCATGGATATTATCATTTTCATTATTTTAATTTTAGAGAAATACATGAAACAGTTTCATTAAAATTTCATTAAATATTATATGAAACAATTTCATAACCATATATGAAACAAATTCATCAAAAAAAGTATTATATGAAACAATTTCATAACCATATATGAAACAAATTCATCAAAAAAAGTATTATATAAAATAATTTCACAAGATTAAACAATTTCATGATTTTTTTTCCTCATAAGATTAAACAATGAAATCGACGTATGAGGGTGTGTGTGTAACACCCCAGGATCACATTTGCATATAACCATATATTTCATATATCAAGAAATATAATTTACACATTTGGTCTTACTATATACAAAAGCTATGTCACAAAAGTAGCTACTAAATTTTTCCATATTATCTTAGTATAAAACTTGTATATATAACAAGTGTTTTAAGTACAAAAGATAACACATCATCCCAAAAAACAATCATACAATCTTTATAATTTCCTCTTCCCTTTATCATCATATTGTCCCCGACCTGTAATGCATATTTTAAAAGACCAAAATGAGGGTTAGACTTTGAGGTCTAGTGAGAAATCCCTTTGATTGCTATTACAAGGTGAAAATTCACCAAAACACTTTTATAAAACTCATATTTGTATAAATGACAAATAAACATTGTTTTAACGAACAAACCTCTTTTGTTGCATCTATAAGATGAGACATCACCAAATTATCGCATTAATTAACCAAATGACTCATTTATCGCATTAAACAAAAACTCATCACATCATATAAGTAAATAATAAATTTCTCGCATCACATGGGTGAGACAACCCCATTTCCTCGCAACACACTGGTGCAAAAACCCCATCTCATTGTGTCACACTGGTGTGATAAATCCAACTTGTCGCATCAGTAGAATGCGATAAGTCAACTTGTCGCATCACATGGATACGATAAAAACTACTCATCGCATCAATAGGATGCGATAACCCAAGTTATTGCATTACACAAATGCGACAACTTCAAGCCATCACATCATAAGGATGCAAAAACAATAACATATGATAAAAATCTAGTTTTCACACTTGTTTGATTTTGCCACCCTTATAACCATGATACACCTCTACTACTTATGCCACCCTTATATCCAAAATACACTTCTCGTGATTATGTCACCCTTATATCCAAAATACACATCTCCTGATTATGCCATTCCCCTTATAACCAAAATACACATTCCTGATTATGTCACCCTTATTCCAATCATTTGATATTAACATATCAAAATATAAAATTATGCTGATAATAACATAAACTCAGTTTTCAAAACTTCCCCATATGAAGAACCATACGGTTCTACTTCAGCACTGTAAATGGAAGGTTTTATAACATAAAACTCATCTTATAATCACAATGAGATTGATGATAAACAACAACAAGAATTCAGCTTAAAACCGCAAAATCAACTTCCTCTTCTATTCTTCCCTTCGTTCTTTTTTGCTTCGGCTCAAACTACACCCATAAACCTTTTACCCATTTTTTTTCCTTTTCTTTGCAAACCCAGTAAGATAAAACAATTATCTCTAATAACAAGTATAAGCAAATACAAGAGGTGGTGGGGTTTTAAAAATAATTTAAGCATATTAACCCAACAAACCCCTCAA